ATGCTTCCTGGGGGACTCCAAGGCATTCAAAGGCCTGATGAGATATATGCTCTCTTCAGGGTGTTCTGGGTCTACCCTGGGGCCACCTGCCACTGGGATGTACCTGGAAAACCTCCAATGCAAGGGCCCCAGGATACATCTTAATCGGAAACTGGAACCACCTCAACTGACTCCATTTGATGAGAAGTAGCAGCGGCTCTTTTCCAAGCTCCCTCTGATTGTCTGAACACTGCACCCAGTCCAGCCATGTTACTATAGAAACTCATTTTGGCCGCTTGTACTCGCAACCTCATTCTTTTGGTCACTACACAGAGCTCGTGACCATAGGTTGAGGGCTGGATCATAGACTGAATGGTAAATAGAAAGCTTTGCCTTCCAGCCCAGCTCCCTCTTGACCACAACAGTCCAGTACAACACCTGCATTACTGCTGACACTGCAGCAACTCGTCATTCAATGTGACATTTTATTTTTTATTTCTTTGTGCATACTGTCCATGTTTAAAAATGTTTATTACTTGCAAAATTAAAACGAAAACTCATATACAAACTAAACCTAAAAATGATATCACAAACTGGCCATAAAGAAAATTTTTTATAATGGCAAAGTCAAACATTATGAATTTGACTGTTATGAAAGAGGCCTTTTCCATTTCATTCTCATTTCTGCATTAGGAGCCACAGACTTGATTTTGGAGTTCATAGATCTCAAATTAAAAACTTAAAATCATTGCATTTGCTAAAGGGTCAAAACTGGTTGCTCAGAGATCCTACAGACTTGGACACAGAAAAAGTTAACATAAGTACAGCCAGACTGCATATTAAAGTTAAATATTGTAATTGATGGGTTTTTCATGATTAAAATACTGTTGCAATAGCGTATAATTAACCCAAAAATATAAATTATTATAATATTTCAATTGGACAGCGTTTACTTCACACTTTTGTGTAGCTACAACATGTTAACATATGGGTATGTATGCTAACTAAATGAGACTAAAATGATGTTAGTTTTACACCCCAGATGGTCTTGCACACATTCCTGGGTTTATGAATCAAAAGCGGTCATAACCTTTGTGTGTAAGTTAGCATATGTGTGGTGTTACTAAAAATACAAGTTAGACACTTCATTACATCCACACCCGAACTGAGAGTCAGTTCCTGACAGTTCCTCAGACTCTGACTTAGTTTCCCAGAACTCCTCTCCCTCATGTTAGCTTTTGGTAATGAGGTTATTTCCACATTCCTGGGCCCATAAACAACTGCCAAATCATCAGGAAAACTGTGCTAGTCTCACAGTCTGATCATCACTCTAATCACAGTGGATTGGAGTTGGAGCCAGATGTTAATAACTACATAACTTCACTCATAAAATTTGTATATACATGGACGTATATGACCCTGCTTCTCACTAACTTGTATCCTCTTTGTGATTTATCTCAGTCAACTTTGAGTGGGCTTTGAGATGATGTCACATTGTAGTTGTTTTTCTTAAATATTACTTCATCTGAGTGTGTCAGCTAACCATTTGACCCTGACTCCACCCTCACTCTGTGTCCTGTTGGCTCCATTCCTCATTTAGTGACTTTGGTGTGCTCCTGATTCTTCATCTAGCTTATTCATTAGGTTAAATACTCTTCTTAATCTTGTTAAAACTGCCTACATGTGAAAAATGTATGCAATCACACTAGGTGTTTAAGGCTGTTCTCTTAAAAATTTTCCGTATACACAGAATGTTAGATCGACTCGAACACAGGGGTGAGCGAGTCACAAAAATATGATGGACCCAGGTGGCTGACTTCAGTGCAAGCAGTGCTAAGTTTAATTACAGTGAAATATAACAAGGAAATGAATAATCAGGTAGAAGTGGGACCGGGTGTCGAGCTGCAGAAGTGAATGATGAGGAGAAGACTGGGCTGCGGACGCTGGGACTCACTCCTGGGCTGGTCGTGGTGGAAAGTACTGAGGAAGAACAAACTTTGTACATACAGTTAGTAGGAGACTGTGCATCGACCTGCGTGGTGGAGAAGGAGCCGGGTAGAGGAGGTCCGTGGTCCGGAGAAGCAACAGAGGCGAGGAGGAATGAAACAATGGAGCTAAAGACTGGAACAGAGCTAGGGCGACAAAACGTGAAGATACTATACAGTAAAAGAGAACGGGAAACAAACGGGCCTGATAACGCTAGAAAGAACTGGCAGGGGAGTGAGGACACGGTCGAATGCCTTCTCCAGATCCACGAAACACATGTGGACTGGTTGGGCAAACTCCCATGAACCCTCCGCCACCCTGAAGAGGGTATAGAGCTGGTCCAGTGTTCCACGGCCAGGATGAAAACCGCATTGTTCCTCCTGAATCCGAGGTTCGACTATCGGTCGAATTCTCCTCTCCAATACCCTGGCATAGACTTTCCCGGGGAGGCTGAGGAGTGTGATCCCCCTATAGTTGGAACAGTTAGTTCAGTTCAGTTGGAACAGTTGGAATAGTTGGCGGATCAGTGCAGCTTCTGCAGTAATGCAGTCGATGTACCGGTCCGTCGTGGTGCAGAAGGAGCTGAGCTGTAAGGTGAAGCTCTCGATTTATTTGTCAATCTACGTTCCGACTCTCACCTATGGTCA